AAAAAATTCATTTTGTTTAAAAATCAGAGTCAAAAAGCCAGCTAAGCAAGCAGAAAGAGAACATCTATCCACTGGTTCACTCCCCAGATGTCCAAACAAGCCACAGCTAAGTAAGGCCATTACCAGAAATGCAGGAACTCAATTCAGGCCTCCCATGTGGGTGGCATGGACCCAGGCACTTAAGCCATCAAGACCCCTCCAAAGACCCCCTTGGTGTCTCTCCCTCTTTCCTTTCAAGAGGCACTCTACCTTCTGGCTTTCTCTCCCCTTCCCTTTCCTTTCCCTGCTCACCTGGCTACTTTGCAAATAAACTCTCTGCAATTAGTTCTTGGCTTTTTATTTCTACATTAAGCTGAGGAAAGAACCTCTGAGCCTCAGGGGTGGGGAATCTGGCCTGGCCCTGGGTCTTCTGGCCCAGGTTCTAGGGCCCACCTACTTAATGAGTGTCGGGTCTGTGAGCCTCAAGGGTGGAAGGTCCAGCGGGACCTGGTTCTCCTAGTCCAGGTCCTTGGACCCACCCGTGCAATAGGTACTGGATCCATGAGCATCACTGGTGAGTGGTCTGGAGGAGCCTTGGTCTCCATTTGTTGTTTTAAGAATGCAGAGCTAGATCTCAGGAAAGTAGCCGGCTCATGCTTTTTGAATCTAGCATCAGGAGAATCTTGTTTCAGAGTGTTTTGCACCTGATGTAAATTGTTAATGCGTTCCTTGGTAATGAGGATCAAAGAGGATATCAGAGTTGAGGAAGGGCTTCCCATAAAATATCTCAAAAAGGCTGAGCTGTCAGGTAGCTTGACAGGTAGCTTCTCCTCCAGCTTCATCCTAAGTGGGGCATTGAGTATTAGTTGCTCTAGAGCCATTTCCAGAATGCCTGAGTGGCAGTCTCCTTTGCTGCCCTCTCTACCACTGCTTCTTCAAGTTGACCTGCCACATCACTTGTACATTTTCTTTGGGAAGTCTCACGGTGCTAGCTTTCTTCCACAGCACCATTCTCACGGGTTTACTACATTTTTTTTTTTTCCCCAGCCCTACAGCCCGGCTCTGTCTGGCCTCACAGATTCTCTTTTAAAATCTCAATGGAAGCTGACAATTCCCCTTGATTCAAGTGTTCTATGCCTCCAAAACCTGGCCATATGGACATCAATGCATCAATACATGTCACCTGAAATTCCCTCATAAAAGTGTGCCTCCTGGAAAATCTTTGCTACAGATTTGCATATCTGTTCTTCAGTTGCAGGGATGGGTGGAGCAGCCTCAAAGAGATGGAATCCTCTGGAAGGTCTTTGACCCATTGCTCCACTTAGTAACACAGGACTGCCTCCCACTTGCACTTAGTTATTTGGCGAGTGCTTGCACCCTAGTGTTTTTCCAGTTTTCTTTTTTTAAATGTTGAGCCCATAGGAGTATAAATGCAGTTACCCATGGCTGAAAAAAACCTCTTCATGACAAATGGTTTCAGTAGATTAGTTCAGTTGTGGCATTCCAGATCTTGACCACCTCAGTGATGCCTTCTTGTCTAGGGATGCTTCAGTACAGGGAAGGTCACAAGAGACTTTCAGGTCTGAACTTTAACAACCCACCAAGACAGCAGATGGCTCAGTGCCCCACATTCAGCCTGTAGTGATCTGATATTTCTTACAGGGAATAAAGGTCTTGTAAGAGCAGCTGGAAGTCTAAACTAGAGAAAGGTTAGCAATAGAAACAAGGAGGTCAATAAAACCAAGACTCAAAACACAAATTGAGTCATTGAAACTCAGTAACCATCGTCCAATCATGGTTACAACTGTTGTTCCAGGCTCTTGTCTGACTCACCCTAAAGTGAGTGAATCACAAGCTCAACAGGTGACTATCAGTCCACTTAGGCAGCCTACAGTGCCTCTCAGGGTAGGGCTCAATCTCTTCTCCTGTGGCTAAAACAAAGGAGAGACCTATGCCTCTAGGATAGGTGCCACCACCATCACCCTTTGTTCCTTACCTCTAGAGTTCAGAAAACCCACAACATTGAGGATGGTTTGGGAAGCACCCACTCTAACTACCTGCACCTGTCTTGGTTTTCATTTGGGCAACTGGTGGGAATCCTGGCTACTACCAGCTGTTTTCACTCCAACCAGCAAGGAATTGGGTTGATTATCTTTTTGCCTTCTAGATACATCTCCTGACTTGGTTGTCTTTGTGATATTCCTGTCTTATTTTGCATACTCCTTGCTTCTATTCAGGGGGTCCATTTCTTCTAAGTCAGCTGTGCATGTCTTGGGCACAGCTCCGTTTTTTTGTTGCCTCTTACCTATAGGTCTTTTGGCTCATTTTGACTAATTTGAGGAAATGTTGTGAGGTAATGAAATTTTGCTTCAGCAACCCAAATAGACCAAGACCTGAATCTTTAATTTCTTTCAAAAATATTTTATATCTTTCAGAATGTAAATTCCATAGTTCTTTCTACAACATTATTACTAAGGACTTTGATCTGGCTTATGCTATTCTAGTGAAATTTTTTTTTAAATTCCTTTCTGGATTGCTCACTGCAAATTTATAACAATATAATTGGTTCTTAAATGTGTGTTGATCTTATGTCCTACAGCTTTGCTGACTTAATTAACTGGTACTACATTGCTATGCTTTTCATGGATTTCTTTATATAAAATTATATCATCTGTAAATATAATTGCACTTCTTTTTGTTTCTTTTTTTTGTGCCTGATTGCTCTACTTGAAAACTCTAATATAATTATAATAGAATTTTTCAGTTCTTACAGAGCCTTTTCCCACCTCCCTGCTCTGGAGGCTTCCTTTTATGTAATCATAAACTCTCTGAACCATGTGGCTGGAAATCATTATGTTCGGAGTAGGATCTGTAAGGTGCTATTATACCTCATTTGAGAATTTATAGCTGATTTATTTATCCACCTAGATCAGAGTGTCCAATGTGACATTATAATACACAATAATACAGAATCATTCACCATAGATCTCAAGGAAGGTGCTTGCAAAAACAAAAATAAAATGCAATTCCACGAGGGAAAAACAGGACTTTCTTCACATGAACTCTGTGCACTGAAATCATGATACATTGGTGAGGGATGTTTAATATCTCTCAGAAGCTGACCAAACACTTGTCAGCCAAATTTTCCCTTTCTGCAATACTGTGCCTCTTATTAAATACTGTGTCTTATTAAAGAGCTAACATGTGCACACTCAAGAGACAGTAAGTAAGCAATGGTAGCTGTTTCCACTGAAAATGTCTAGTTGCATTAATACCAGGTTGAATTCTAATACAAAAAAGGAAATGTATTTTTACCATTGAGCTGATAGCAAATCAGAAGCCAAGAGTCACTCTCAACAGCTTCTACCTTCTCAGTGCTGGAGCTTTGTCAAGTTTATCTCTCATAACCAACAGTTCATCTACTTTCTCACTCTATGTCCACTATGCCTCTCATGGCAGGGGCTGTCACTCTCCTGCAACATGCCATGGACTCTTACTCTAAACTCTTGCCTCATGCAGAGCAAATTAGAAACACAGAACCCCAACTTTGTCCTTTCCCACCAAAACACTGCTCTGATTGAAAGCTAAAGGCCGATGCACTTCCCTTGGTTCATCGTGTCCTCTCTATCCTGACCTTAATATTTCTATAGCCTCCTCACCAACCATGCTTCCTTAGTCTCTGTACTCTGGCCACAAATGATGCTCTCTTCTGCCAGCAAACCTTTGGTTTTTCTACTCCATGTTATGAGAAAGTTCTGTCCATCAGCCTCCTACACCCAGTAAGTACTGTTCTTCAGATCCTAGCTCATGTGATGCTGTGTGGGAATGATCTTCCTTCACTCTAATAATAACAGTTCCCATTCACTTTCTAATTGCATGGTCTTTGTGTGATACTTTTATTAAAGTCATGTATTCTCCTGGGCATGCAATTCCTTGAGGCTGTTGATGATTTTGACTTCTGTCATGCCACCATGATATGTGTTCATTAATATTCATTTACTGTTTGAATATTTTGCTCTCTGCCATTGTCCCATGATACCTTCTTAGGAACTCAATGAAAGTAAATACAGCAAGCACACTGTTCAGACATTTGACACATACACAACCCAGTGCAGTCTTGCTTTTTATTCATGACATTTTAGGTGAATGATGTGAACCTTGAATGAAGCCCACTGAATGGGAAGTAGGATTCCAAGATAAGGGAGGATAAAAGCACACACAAGATGGAGATGACAGCATGAAGATAAAGAGAGAGAAACTGGGAAGGGCCCATTCTCAAAGATGCAAAGGATCTGCCCATGTCCACAAGACAGGTATGGGACTGGACCGAACTAAAGTGAGAGTGAGGGAGCTGATGCTGGAGAGTCCCAGTGCAGCCCAGACATTCCAGAGGGGGCTCAGTCACACAGTCAGGATCTAAGGAAGCCAGTCATGTGAAAGAGCTACTGCCAAGTCCCTAGCTGTGGAAATTTAATTCTTTATTTCTTGATGAGTTCTTTCTTCAATATCCTTCCCTCTTTGTCATTCTTCACTTAGGCCACTACCATGTGCCCATTCTCCTGATGACTGTCACCGTATCCCTTCTAATTTAGTGTTGCTTTGGCCTCTTGAAATCACGATGCATCCCTTTGTTTCAGATTTTCCTTTAGTGACAGCTCTCAGGATTCATCTTCTTAATGTTTGGGCCCCTCTCCTTGCGATTTTTGCTCTTCACTCCTGTTGTTTCAGGTTTCTCTTCTCTTTGCTCCAAAAATATCCTCTAGTTCCTGGCATTTTCAACAAAGTAATAGTAAAAGGAGTAGGAAACTCACAAAAAATCAAAAGCTCACTGAAATGAACCTTTCCTCCATCAAATTCTGCAGCATGGCAGATCTTCCACATGACATTACCAAGGTCTCTTGAGAAGACATCAATTCCAGTAAAGTTAATCAACGGTGTAGGCACAAAAGTGAAGTGTATGCGGAAAGAGCTAAGTGCCGGGATCTTTTTGCTCACCTTATTTGCTCACAAGTAAGTAGTATTTACTTTTTAGCCCAGGTCTGCTCATGTGCTTGGCCAAAAATAAGGTAGAAGATCAAGCCAACTATGTTAATGGCAGATGCAATGAGGAAGATGTTTCTCCATCCCAATTCTGAATCCTTGTGGCAGGAAATTCCAAATTATTAAGAGTCACCAAATCCTATCCCTCCTGGTTCATAGAGGCTGTGACTTCAGATCTTACCATCCACCAACTCAGTAGGCGCTAGTGTCTTCCCGGTTGCCCTTGGAATGTGCCAGTACCCTTCTGCCATGAGGTCTATGGACTGATTGTCCCCTGTGCTGGAATACTCCCCACAGAGACACTTGCCTATCTAACTTCCTAACTTCATTCCAGCCTTCGCTTAATCCTGTTCTCCCCTTCCCCCCCCCCCGTGTGTCTTTCTTTGATCACAGTTAAATTGAGATTCCTCCCTGTGATGTACCTTATTCTGCCATTCTCTTATCATTTATCATCAAAAGGAATATAAGTGCCTTTAATCTAATTTATGCTAAATGACTATATGTTTCACTTAAGAACATTCATCAGAATATAGACTCACCTGATTGATTAAAATTCCAGCAACAGTAGGAGCAATGGCTCCAGCTATCGATGCACACAACTGAGTGAGTCCTTTGATAAAGCTGGTGTACCTGATGGTGAAGGAGAAAGAAGGACAATCCCAAATAAGCAGAGAGTTATTCTTGGTTCATCTGTTGTGGCTTTGTGTCTCTCTCTGGGTACCTATAATTGTGCTGAACCTTGGTTAAATGGAAGAAAACATACAGACTAGGAAATAGTTTAATCCTGTGCTAGACTGCAAAACTTCCATGGAGTTAACTAACTGGTCAATACTGTGTATTTTTAATGCAGAATCTGGATTTGCACACGGATTAAACATTGACTAGGTTACTGCAATTGAACTTGCATCAGTAGCCTTATTTTGGAGAATAAAACAACCACCACTGCATGAGAAATTTGCTTTCTGAGATAATATTTCCCACATTTCTTAGTAGTCCTCTTTTTTAAGATGGTTGTGTGTCTTCCCAGTTGCCCTTGGAATGTGCCAGTACCCTTCTGCCATGAGGTCTATGGACTGATTGTCCCCTGTGCTGGAATACTCCCCATGGAGACACTTGCCTATCTAACTTCCTAACTTCATTCCAGCCTTCGCTTAATCCTGTCCTCCCCCTGTGTGTCTTTCCTTGATCACACTTAAATTGAGATTCTTCCCTGTGATGTACCTTATCCTGCCATTCTCTTATCACTTATCATCAGAAGAAACATAACTACCTTAATCTAATTTATACTGAATGTCTGTATGTTTCACTTAAGAATATTCTTCAGAATATAGACTCAATAGGGTAAGGACATGTTTAAACAGACAGAGAAACATTAGCCAGTGTGAAGCGGAGAGGGCACATTTCTTCAGCAACACATTAGTTATTCAGTAACATATTATTTAACTTCATGGTATTGTTGGTTTCCCCCCCCCTTTTTTTTCTTCTCATTCTTGATTTTGTGTTGTGGCTTCTCATTTAAGGGGATGTATAGTAACTGTGTAATGGAGACTATCATATCCAGATGTGAGCATACAATGCAGTATGCATCTCTACTTCCAGACAAAGATGGAATCCCAATGAAACACTTAACTGTATCTTGACAGAAGGATGCTGTACTTTCTGCAATTGTCCATGCCAGCAATGATGGACATAGAACTTTCTATGAAGAACTACATTATACTAATGTTATAGGGGAACTCAGTGAAGGGGGAAGGATTTAGGGAGGGAATAAGGGAAATCCCAAGACCTATGGAACTGTATCATAAAATTATTATGATAAAAAGAAGTTTTAAAAAGAAAAAAGAATATAGACTCACCTGATTGATTAACATTCCAGCACAGTGGGAGCAATAGATCCATCTATACAAAAACTTGAATGAATCCCTTGAGAAAGGGATTCTTTGTTAAACTGCACAGGATCCAGAAGCTACAAGAAGGAATCCTTACTTCACATGTACCTCCTGTGAAGGTAACTATTTTTGCTATGATTATGCACCTTGCTCTATATTAAATGCTTCCATGTGGAAATCCTGGGTTTCTTATGACTCCATTTGCCCACCTAGTAATGTGCCACATTCCCTAACAGAGATGCTTGTGTTTCCAAAAGTTGAGCTGTATGTGTTTTCACAGGTTGAGGGTGACTGTAGTTACTTCCTTCTCTTTTCACACCTGAGTGCCGGATTTATAGTTATTGGACCTGTATTGAGAATGTAGGAAGAAGAGAAAGGAGTACCTACCGAGGAGCGATGTCTATGATGTTCACAATGGATCCTGCTTGAGGGATGCCAGCGAAGAAAATACACAGTATCAAGAAGATTATAGTGGCACTCCGACTGAATCTGACCCAGTGCAGAGCCACGAGGAATGCACAGGAGCAGAGAATCCCTGAGATAAAAGGAATCACAGAACACATCGGATGCTGCTGGGGTTTCTCACACCCACCCTGTATCCAGCTTGCTCCTTACCTGTACAAGTAACGAGTTTCCTGATGGTGACGAGTCTGAGAATTCTTCTGGAGAAGAGAAAATCAGCCAAGAAGGCTGCAAGCAACATACTGATACCAGTAGCAATGAATGGCAGTGACGACAGCATCCCACTCTGAGGACAAGAAAAGAGGTGAAATGTGTGCACCCTTCACCAACCGAAATGACTGCCCTCTGAAAGGTTGCCTATCGCTTCTCTTTATATACAAATCACTTCTAATGTAAATTCCGTGATACAGGAATGAGCCAACACAACTTCAATGCTTGGGAAAAAGTGTCCATAAAGCTCACCTTCTGAAAAACATGTTTTCCTAATCTAAAAGTGCAAACCTCAGTAGAAAATAAATATTTAAAATATCAAAATTCAACAGAGAAATGTTCAAAGTATTGACCATTTGGGACAAAACAAAGATAAGTGGATCTTAAAACATTAAAAATTACAACCTTACTGATTTAAAAAGCCTCAAGCCTCAATGTACTAGGAAACAGTACATTTCACGCAACTAATTAGTAGGTGTCTAGAAGATTTTTGACACGCTCTGTGAATATGTGCTCTCTCCATAAACATACGCAGATACACAGAGTGAAAGAGGGAAGGGGGAGACTGTCAATAAACACAAATGTAAAAACCTATCAGATACTCAGCCTTTGACTCACCAACCTGATGTGAAAATTTATTCCACAGAAATAGTCACACAAATGCATGTCAGATTAACAAGGTTCTCACTGTAGGTTGCTGAAAGATTTGTAGCAATCCAGTAACTTGCCCATTAGGTTTCATGTACTAACAGAAAAAGACCTCCATGGGCTATTGAATAGCAAAACCTAGCATATTAGGAACCGAAAAAGTTTGTGAGCTATATACCCTTTTTTCTTTTCTTTTGCTTTCTTTCCTTTTCTTTCTTTTCTTTTCTGTTATGATTCATTTATTTATCTGAAAGGCAGAGCCACAGAGGGACAGACAGAGGCAGATAACTTCCATCTGTTGGTTCACTTTCAGTTTCACTCCCACCCAAATGGCTGCAACAGCCACTCTGCCATCCCAAAGACAGAAGCCTTAAACGCCACCGGGTGCCCCACATGAGTGTAGGAGTCCAAGGACTTGGGCAATCTTCTGCTGCTTTCGCATGTCACTAGTAGGGAACTGAATTGGAAGCAGAGCAGCTAAGAGTCCCACCTTCCACCCACGTTGGAGGCTGATGCTTTAGGCAGTTGGTTCACATGCCAGGACACAGCAAAAGCTGTCATAGTTTACCATTAATATAGTTTTGAAATGTTGATGTTAATTATTGTTAATTCAATTTTACTAAAAGCCACCTGGAAAAGAAGATAACCCTGCATAGTGTAGAATCAAATAATTAGAGGGAATAGCCCCTCATCTGGTATAAGCACATCATTCCATAGATGATTAATCAGCATCATCAAGGTTAGGTAACTTAGTCCAAGACTGTTGGCCTCCCCGTCTCTCTCTCCTCAGCCTGGGTTTCATACCTGGTCCCACACCAGACACTAATCACTTGTCCCTGTGATATTCACAACATCTATAACCCAGCCTTATTACCAGCTTTTCTGGCCTTCCTTTGGAGTAAGCCCCTGTTTAGCAAATCTGGTTTCATTTCTAGATTAGTCCCTGATCCTCTTTGTGAAGACACACAAACGCATTTTCCTGTCTGGGGCCTTCTGGTCTCAGGACCGCCAGTTTCTGTGCATGCATGCTCCCCAGACAGAGCACTGCTGAGACAATCAAATTTCTGTGAGTTTCTTAGCACCTGTCACTAGAGGAGCTCTAAATAGAACAAGCCTGCTTGTTGACTACAGAAGATGAGAGTGGAGTAGAAGTAACCCAGTGGCTTTGTCACTTGTCATTATTAAACAGACAATGACAGCTAAAACATTCTTGTCGCTTTGTAGATATCCATCTAAGGCTTCAGTAGTCATTAGCAGGTGAAGCTGCTGCTTGCAGCATCGGCACCTCATATCAGAGTGTTGCTTTCACTCCCAGCTGCACTGCTTAAACCTATCTGCTAATAAACCTGGGAAATCACATAAGATGGCTCAAGTCCTTGTCCCCTGCCACCTGCTGAGAGACCTAGAAGTGGTTCCAGGTTCAACCTGAACCATACCTGGACATTGCAGCAATTTAGGAAGTGAACCTGAAAATGTTCTCTCTGTCACTCTGCCTTTCAAATAAATATCACAGGACATATATCTAGCAGAAGTTTAACAGGTTCTTTTTAGCCAAGCAGACATCCTGATCACGTTTTGAAAATTCAGAAAGCAATACAAAAAAAAGTCAACAGTTCCATTAAACTTGAACAAATCACTATTTTAAAATAATCCATAATTTATATATGCTTCCTATTTTGGTACTGTCTATCATATTAAAAATGCTTTATTCTCAATAGATTTTGTTGATGCTTCTTCAAAGGCAGAAATTCTCTTGCTAATCTTTTATTGTTAAGCCATTAGCAGAATATCTTGTGTCCAAATGTTGATTGAAATGTTTATAAAATGTGTGCATAGCTATGTTACAAATATGACATTCTGTGAATACCAAGCTGACCTAGGCCCACATTATCACGACACATTCAATAGGATGTTGCATTGAAAGTAATCACAATCCATGTTAACCTGGCTACATTACCTACCTGGAAACCTGGGCCTAATCGCCTGAGCTTCTGATCATGAGGCAAACAATGGAATATATAATGAGACATTTAGATGGCAGACCAGAGTGAACTTTCTTAGTACTTACATCTCTGACATTGATTTGAAGCACAGAGCTGATGTATGTTGGTGTGTATGACAATATCGTATTTATAGTCCAGTACTGACAGAAATAAGACACTAAGATGGCCCAAAGTGGTAGAGATTTGATCATAGATTTAATGGGAAGAGACCAGCCTGGTGAGTTATCCTGAAAGAAAGCACAGATCAAGATCCCTCCATTAGAGACAGTGCTGTTCAAAGGCACTCCTCACTGAGATGAGCAGACACAGAGACAAGGGAAATGGAAGAAAAATGCCCCATGTACCTGTTGAGCCAATGAACACACAATGTATCTCTTCTCATCAGCACTGATAAAAGGGTGATGCTCAGGGTCATTATAAGCAAGAGGAAACCAAAGAAGACAACAGACACACCCAATTCCACCTGGAAAAGAGGATCCCATTGGAGCTCCTTTAGTTAGCCTCAGCTGAGATGATTCCTGTGGTTGACAGGATGCCTCCTGCACTCTACACCTGCCTGCATATACATCTTATCATAGCCTTTCCACAGTTGGACAGACTCTCCTACCATTTGACTTTGACCTTCCCCATTTAACTTGCTTGTGCAATGGGACAGTCCCAAGCCCAGGCATTAAGAACAACTGCCCTTCTTGGAGAAAAAAAAAAAAAGGGGTTGTTCTGACTTTGGGTGGAACATTCTTCAGCTATTACATTGTCCAAGGAAATAACATGCTGAAAGCAGAGTCACCAGCTATGGTACATAAGTGTCAATGATTGCTATTTTATAATATTGAATTTTTGAAGTGCTCATGTTGAGGCATTACCCACTGTTACTGTTTATTATTACTATATCTGCCCCAAGTGTTTGAAAAGACCCAACAATTTCAAGTAACTATCAGCAGCTCTCCCATTAGACATGTTTCTGCAATATTTTTTCTCTGCAAATTTTTGTTATCTTTCTTCTTTCCCAAAAGAAAGGTTTAAAACAGCTCATTATTACATGCAATGGATTACTCAGAACGTTGCTGAACACGAAGTGAAATTAATACTCAGCAAAGGCATTTTCTCTAACATATGTATTACAACAGTGTTGAGGAAATCAATATGATCTGTTATGACAGGGAATATGACACATCTTACAATTCCCTTATTATGGGACTGGTCTGGTGAAACAACATGTTAAGCTTCCACATGTGACTTTGGCATCCCATTCAAGAATAGTTTTAAACACCATCTACTTCACTTCTAGTCCAGTTTCCTGCTAACATATCTGGAAAGGCAGCACAAGATGGCTTTGGCCTGATCCAGTTATGATCACTTGGAGAGTTAACCAATGGATTGACAATAACTAGACTGTGAGTGTGTGTGTGTGTGTGTGTATCACTTTCTCACAACCTGTATAGATATGCCTTTCACGTAAATAAATAAATTTTTCTCTATAATTCCTTTTAGATACTTAAAGATTTATGAGGTTTCTCCATATGGCTAGTTGATTATACATACAAATTGATATGGCAACCTCCAGCCACCATCCATTTTGCTAAAATTTTTTTAAAGATTAATTTTTATTATTTTTTAATTGGAAAGGCGGATATACAGAGAGAAGAGTCAGAGAGGAAGATTTTCCGTCCGATGATTCACTCCCTAAATGAGCACAACGGCTGATGCTATGCCAATCCGAAGCCAGGAGCCTCTTCCCACGTGGGTGCAGGGTCCCAAAGCTTTTGGGCCGTCCTCGACTGCTTTCCCAGGCCACAGGCAGGGAGCTGGAAGGGAAGTGGGGCTGCCGGGACTAGAACCAGCGCCCATGTGGGATCCCGGGTGTGCAAGGTGAGGACCTTAACCACTGCGCCACCGCGCTGGGCCCCATTTTGCTAAATTTTAACAGTATAACTACAAAGTCACATTTTACTATCAAGCAGCTTGAGCAAATGAGATGTGTTAAATTTGAAAATTAGCAATGTTGGTCATCATGATTGGCGGACATTAATATTGATTAAATAGATACCAATAAATTTTGATTTTGTGTGTGTTCTTTTAAACTGTTTCTCAACACTTTCAATACAGTAGAGCCCTCTTTTTGAACACTTTTTATAACATCTTTCTTAAAATTGCAATGCCTTAGCAATCAATCTTCAAAGACTTTTTTCTAGTGAATATTTTGCATGAACCTAGATAAGAAACATTATGTTTCAGACTCAATTCAGTGCCTTATGAGATGGCAGCACCGCAGAAGGTGTTAAAAGGATGTGTTAAATAAAGAAATAAGTATGATCAACACTACAGTCCCACCAAGATAACAATTCAGCCTCTTGGAAAAATGTTCTCTGGACTTGTTTCATTTTAATTTAAAAGTAAGGAAGAAATGTTATGTTGCCCTTAAAGATCAAGGTTATTCCAGGAGCACATTTAAGCTACTAAAACTTACATGCCACGTTACAACACATCAATTCACAATATGATCAGTTCTGTAATTAACAGGAGCAGTATAGACATCTGTATTTACTAGAATTTGGTGAAAAATAGGTAATTTGAATCACAGATATTCATCCAATATTCAGTATCCTAAATTAGAATTCTGAGATTCCAAAAAAAAAAAAAAAAGAACAAACTCACCAAAGATATAGAAGATGTAAGGCCATCCTATGGTCTGGCAGATAAGACCACCCACGAGCAGTACAATAAAGGATCCCAGCATTGCGCCTGTAAAGAAGATGCAAGGATAAGAGTGAGGGGCCAGTGTTGGTGATCCGCATGCTTCCACAATACTAACGTGCAAAACTGAAGGCATGTGTGTCAGTGACAGTGCAAATGTCTTGGTTCAAATCTGGCTCTAGCTGGATTTTGATCTTTAGCTAGTAATGTATCCATCTGTGTCTCAATTTCCTTGGAAATAATGTCTTATTTCGCTGAGTTGTAAGGTTGTTTTAAGACTAAAATGATGGAAGGTATGGGTCTTGCTCCTCTTGGAGCGTGTGTTTTAGGTGACAATGAGTGGTTGCTTACCTGACACAGCAGTGTTGATGAGTTGACTCCTTTCCAGTGGGGGAGCCCATCGGACCCAAAGGGAATTCTGACCTGTCAAAACCATATCCTGGAGGAGACACTCCATTCTTAGAAATATGAGATCATTCGGTAACTTATATTTCATTTATACACAGAAAATATCCTGGTACCTGGGCTATGCCTTGAATAACACGTAGGGCAATGAGCGCAGCCACTCCAGCATCAGCTGACAATGGAATGAAAAGTGACAGGACTGAAGTGATAAATAAGCCAGTACCAACTACGTACTTGGCTCCAAGGACTCCAGCCACATAGCCAACAGGAATTGGAGCGGCAAATGAGCCATAACTGAGGGAGCTGAGGATGATGCCCTGGATTTCAGGATTCCAGTCATAAGTAGGAGCCTAGACAAAAGAGAAGATCTCATCATCTATCTGCTTGCAGAACTGACAGATCTCATTATGAGAGCTTTATAACAAAAATAGCCAAGGGTGGGGCTCAGTTTCCTTTCTTACACTTCTCTTCAATTTTTCCAAGCTACCAATTTCATTCTAAAAAACAGAGTAATTAATTGTACACACAAAATTTTTCACTACCTGGCACAATGAATCAGTCAGCTAAAACATAATAGAGACCATAAAACAAAGCATCTTTAATGAGAGATGACATTATTTGAATCTGGCATTTGGTTTAACCGCTAAGATGTCTCTTGTGATACCTGCACTCCATATTCAAATGTTTTGGTTTGAGGATTATCTGCTCCTGAGTCCAGTTGCCAGTTATTGTGCACCCTGGGAAGCAGCAAGTAAGAACCAGAGAAGCTGAGTCCTTACCACCTGTGTGGGAGACCCAAACGGAATGAATTCCACCATTGTAGAGGCTTGATTCATGTCCACTAAATGGCTTGTTTTCATCCTTTGTAGTCCCTGGTTATATTCTTAGACACCAGCTAGAGTGTAATCCCCTTATATTATATATCATGGTCTCACACTGCTCCTGACACATTGTACCAATGAATAACTACTTACTGGTTAAATGAATCACATTTTTGTAAATAATTCCTTAATTTAAATTAACATGAGCTTTTCATATGGTTTCATGTGTCATTAAACTTACTATTGCCTGGACTTCATCTTGAGTTGCAGTCCAGTCATCCTGGGTGTCCATGGAGGCATTGGGCTGGCCCTGCAGGGCTGTCTGGTTCACCATGGCTGTAATGGCGATGCTCAGGTTCAATTGTTGGGTGTACATCGAAAAATTACAGATATTCAGGATGAAGGCAAGCCCATATCGGACTGAACAAAACCCTGAGGCAAGAAGGGACAAAACATCTTTGCATCAAGACGTTTATTCCACCTCCTTCTCAAATCTGGAAGTTGGAAAAGATTGATTTCTGTGTGTGAGACAGAAATACAGACAGCAAATAGCACCTCAGTGTGTCTGGTGGACCCGCGCACTGAGAGGAGATAAGGTGGATAGCACCTTCCTCCTCAATATCTCTAAGAACTCCATCAGAGCAAATATGCAGGAAGTGCTTTACAGGACCTTGAAATGAACTGATGAGAATGGGAATAGGAAGAAACAAATGAAGAGAAAACCCTGTCCAGAAGCAATGCTTAGTTGATTACACAGGGAGAGCAGGAGAGAGAAAAGGTACAGGAAATAGTTCCTAGTCACCTTACTTGAGCAGCTGGGGTATAACAAAGTAGCATTGATCTATAACATGGGACATGAAAAATTAGCTTGTTGGAGGTCTCGGGAGATGAATATTAAAAGGCTGCTGCTAGATTGTGAAAGTATTTAAACTTTGTCATAATCCTCAGAGCTAAGGAGGACAATGCATGCCCATGTGCATCAGAGAGCTACTGCTTATCTTTTAGGCTGAGGAGCCATAGTTTATCAGTTTATCAAAAGAACTGGCAGTGTTGACTGCCTGTCGCTACAGAAAAGTGGGGTAAGATGTATAATGTGTGATCACCTGGAGGGGCCAGCACTGCACCTTTCTGTGTACTGATGTTTTTGCTGAGCTGGGAATGGACAGACCCTCCCTCACTTGGTTTATATCCAAGTGAGGGAGGGTATTTAACTCCATGAGTTCATGTACCTATGCACAAAAAATTACATTGGAATTGGATCAACACCATAAGGCTATGGCAAATTATGGTAAGAAGGCTTGACACATTTATAGATTTTTTTTTACCTAGCATACTCAATTATTCCATGCTTTTGTTTGCTCATGATGAAATTTTATTGTTATCTTAAGCACCACATAAGTTTTATAAAGTAATTTTGTGTTATTTCTGTAACTGGGTTTATTTTCCCTATGAGCTTAGACTAACACCATAATTTAAAACACATATGCACAATAGTAAAACATGATTATTTTTGCCATTTGAAACATTGATGTCATCCACTACAGTAATTTTATCATTTTTAAGCAATACTAAATAAGAATTGTGAGGATGGGACTCCTTTTGTGTCTAAAAATACTGCGAATGCTTCCCATGTGTTATTTTACTGGTTCTTAATGTGACATATGTGTAATTATAATGAACTATCTTATTCCTATTTTAAAACATTTTGGGGAACATTTTTTCATCTGAAAATGTTCAGATGCATTTCACTCCTAGAGTTCTTTCGTGCAGTACTCCAGTCCCAGTTGCTTTACTTTCAACTGTGTGTTCTTGGGCAAGTCGCTGAGGTTTTGTGGCCTCTGTTTCACTCCTAGAGAACAGAGTAAAGATCTATAGCTGAAGGCACAGTTGGATCAGCTCATGCGAGTTTATTGTCATATCTATTAAAGATATTTGACTATCATGGCATTTTATAATGATATTTATTAGGATTTCTTTCAGTGAAAAAGCATGAATTATTTTGCTTCAACTCTAGTTTTAACCTTAATAAGACACACTTACTTTAATGTGTGGTTACTTTAATGTGTGCGCATTTGTCATAAGCTTTACTAAAACAGAAAGCTATCTGCTTGCCAATTCAGTATCTGATCTACAATGCTTCAGGGAAATTAGTATTTCCTTTTTTTTTTTTTTTTCTTAATAACCTTAGGATTCTGAACAGCTTCAAAGATTTATTGGATTCTCAAAGACATTGACATATAATGGTTAGCTAAAGGAACTACCATATTCAGTTTTTTTCCCTTACTTTTAGTAAATGTCTTTTTTCTAATCTAAAACACTAATCTAGCATCAGATTACAATTAGTGGTCAAGTCTCCTGGGTTCCTCTCGTCTACAACGCTTTCACAGACAGATGTTTTGATCGTTTGTTTGTTTTGTTCTTTTTCATTTTCTTTTTTTTTTTATGACCTTCACAATTCTTACAAGACCAGACAGGATTTTGAAAAAGGACACTCAACTGGAATTTATCTGGTGTTTTTCTTATCAGACAAATTTTCTTAAGATGGAATATCCACAAAAATAATTTGAAATTCTGCACAAGGTGCATAGATATTTTCTGCACTCTAAAAGTCTCATAGAATTTTTCTAGTTAAATTATTAGTATATAATTAGTCTGTTTAGTATATAATTAGTCTGTTTTAGTATATAGTCTATTAATTAGTACATAATTATTTGTATATAATTAGTCTGTTTAGACAAATTTCATTCCTTACATGTTTCCAGACTCATCAAGCTTTTTATTATTTTAATATTCAAAGCTTATAGGTTGCAAATTTATAATTTCTAGAAAATCTATTATAATTATACCATATTTTAACACAAGTAATCATTAATCTATAACTAAATTATGTCATAATATTTTATATAATTATAAACCATAATTGGAAGAAAATCATTCCTTTCATGTTTTCACATAATTAACAAACATCTTAAATCTGTCTCTTATTTCATCACAGTTCATATTATTTAATCTCTGCCTGATAAACTGAAAGCCACATTGTTTTAATGCCATGAGAGGTATTCCCTATTAAGAAACAGTTCTTCAATTTGATCTTAATCACTTTTTTGATTTGAATCCACCGTATGTTCTTGCATACTCAACTTTGTTGTACTCACTTAATTTGAAACTGTAGACTTTGTGTGTTGGATGAAAATTAAGCATTATTTATTTATACTTGTTGCAATCTCCGTGTTCCTACATTTTTCATTTCCATTTTATTTAATCGTCTGAATTTCCCTGACCATTTGAAATTTTGCATCCATGACCCTGATTTGTTTTGTACTAATAATTTCACCATTGGTTGTTTCTAATGCCAATTTTTGTTACTGTGACATGTATTCCTCTATTAGTTGCGCTTCTCATCTATACATACACAAGTCTCCTTTTCCCTGTTGATTTGTTTCATACACTCTGAGCTTTCATATTCCTGTTGTTGTTATTGAGAAATTTTAGACATTGGAGATGAAATCTTTCAATACACTCCAGGCTATCCTGAAGTGCCAACAGTGCATGTGGTGGCAATAAGCAATATCTGGGAGCCAGGAGCATGTCGTGAAATGATTTGACCAATTCAGGAAGAGTCAGTTACTCTTCCATTTTAATTATGCAATGACATTTTAGAATTTGGGGATAGGCCCTCCAAATGTTGATGCTCAATTTTAGGTATTCATGCTCTCCTCTGTTCCATTGTACTGCATTTCCCACCTGCCATATGCAAACACATACACATTATACCAAGTTCACTTAAGTGCTGGTAAGCTATGGGAGCAGGTAAGTTTTATCTGCATTTTCCAGCACATGCAGAACCAATTGCCAGTACTCTGCCTCTGTCTTTCTTTCTCTCTCCCTTTCTTTCTCTCTTTCTTTCTCTTTTTAAAATTCATTTATTTTTATTGAGAATGTAGATTCCAAGTCCACAAACAGGGAGCTGTAGAAGAAATGGAACAGCCAGGACATTAACCAGCACTTATATGGGATCCCGGTGGATGTAAGGTGAGGATTGAGCCATTAGGCTATCACAGCGGGACCTTTGCCAGTTTCTACATGTCTCCACTGTATCTAGATCATGAACTTAAGTCCCTATTCATTGTTCAGCAGTGATAGACTTGGTGCGTGGAGCCAATAATCACACACATGGACTACTGGCCATGATGGCGAATAGCTGAAGTTTATTAATAGCATCTGACTATTAAAGACAGAGGGTTACTAGGTATAAGGAAGGAGGATTTGAGGAATTGAAGTAAGCAAGAGGGAGTTGACTTGGGACTGTAGAAGTTCTGTACCAGTGAAAGCACCTCTCTTTTATCTGTTATCTAATCCTAAGCATTAGGGAGATGTTGGCCTGTGCATTTCCATATCAACTGCTTCCAAAGCATTCCCAACAGGATTATAGCTAGCCATGACTCCACCCTGGCAAGGTTTTCCTAATGTCCTCTATTAATCAATTACCTTCCTACAGATAATTTAATTGTCCTCCTAATTATAATTTAGGTGGAAGTACCTTTTAAAAATATGGCAGAGGGCCTAGTGCATTGGCCTAGCAGCTAAAGTCCTCTCCTTGAATATGCTGAGATCCTATGTGGGCACCAGTTCTGCTCCCGGCAGCCCGGCGAACAATTGAGCTTCCTGTTTGTGGCCTCCAAAAGCAGTCAAGGATGGCCCAAGGCCTTGGGACCCAGCACCCATGTGAGAGACCCCGAGGGTGCTCCTGGCTCCTGGTTTCAGATAGGCTCAGCTCCGGCCATCGTGGTCGCTTGGGGAGTGGGTCATCAGACGGAGGATCTTCCTCTGTTTCTCCTACTCTCTGCACATCTTACTTTGCAATAAAAATAGATAAATGTTTTATGTACATATATAAGAAATCAGTGGGGGTAGGGAATGTGGGAAGAGGATAAGGGAAATCTCAGAGTGTATGAAATTGTCTCATACAATAAAAAATAAATAAAAACAAATACTCATAGTGATCACCATATAAGTAGGACTCCATTAGATTCTACCACTGGAGGCACCTGGCAGAATTCAGAAGACTGAACACAATGAGAAAGCATTACACTCCAGAGGCACTTTGTTGGCCAGGTGAATTCTTATAGTGATGGTGCATGGGGAGGGTTTACCTGTGATGTTAGAGATCCTGCTGAGAGATATCCACATCAGTTATGTCTCATCCTTCATTTCCATATTTCCCTAAAGTAGCCATCCTCCCTTTTGCTTCCTACATGTCCACAGTCTGGAATCTTCCAGGTTCTATATTAAATATCTTCCTTGTTGAAATACTTACAATGACTTAGAATGTTTGTTTTGGTTGAATCCAGACATAGAATCTCATGAGCCACTGGGAGAAAGGATATCAGCCTCATGAATTCCTAACTGATCCTGTGTCTGCAGAGGCCACACTGACCTTTTACAAAATTCAAGGCATCAGTTCTGTCCACTTGGTGTCTCTGGGATATGATAGCATAAGCAGTTCTATGATGTGAATGGGTGACTCAATACAATCAGGGATGGGCAATTTGTCCAGATTCCATAGAACACCAGTCTTAGGAACAGCTGTATTAAGCAAAGATGTCATTAACCTTTAGGGGCTGAGAAAGCCCCAGCACTGCTTTGGGGATCTGGTGTGAACTATGTCTCCATGCCCAGGGAGATGATCCAGAGAGACACCAGAGGAATAATGAAGTTGGACAGCATGAATGAAACAGTCAGCAGCATGTATTTCTTGTGCCTATACATGAACCCAGAGATGCAACAGAATGATCTGATGAGACTTTAAGGAACAGGTGGGGTTCTACTTTATCATATGTGATGATAATTTGCCAAAATGGATGACTATTTTCAGCATGATGTTATTTTTAAAAACAGGCATGTATAAAGTGATTTAGAAAGATACTGTCAGATTCAGCTGAGCTCCTGGGGTGGTCTCTAGAGTACTGAACAGAATGGTGGGGGAGATGTCTTAGAAAACATTAGAAGAAAGCAGAATGATCATTAGAAGAAAGCAGAACTCCCATTTTATTTCAATTGAAAAACAAATATTCCAGAATGTAAGTTGAGATACAATATGGTATGAGCAATATCATATGAGTGATATCAATAATAGAATAATATCTAAAGTTTATAGGACATTTACTGTATGTGTGCATTATTGCTGTATGTGTTGTTGTTATTACTCCTTTAATGGCAGCATTCCCTACTGCCTTTAGCGAACAAATCCTACATTCCTAGCTTTCTATTTTTAAAGATGGAAAAACAGGTATAGACAGTATCCTCTGAAATTCTTAGCAATGAGACTTGGAACTGAGACCACTGGGATAATTTTATTTCTAGACCTTAGGGTAGTTAAGTGCAGAATGCATGCTGACATGCATGTCTTCTGATTTCTTCTTTCATGAGTGAAATTAGGAGGCAGTTCTTCCTCAGAGACATGCCTGCTTCCCAACAGAGAAGCTGGTTGAAATGCTGACTATATCAAAGCTCTCCTGTTGATGAGTGGATCGCTTAGATAAGGCATTATCTTTTGTGAAGCCTAGATCCTTAAGAGAAAAAATGAATAATGCAGTTTAAATCACTAAGGTTATAGGGTAAAATAAAATCTTCTGCCATTTTCTGTAACAGATTATAATTAAATACTGAACTAGATAAAAAGAAGAAAGAAGGATGACTTCTATGCTGTTGTGGGAAAGAAAATGCTTCTGAGACAGGTGGTTGGGTTTAACATGAACGGCAAGTTAATAGGACACATCATGGACTTGGAATCATACAACCCAAGGTCATTTTCCATGTTTCTTACTTGGAATATGCTCTAAACATTTTTCATTTCTAAATAGCATCAATAACAGTTAGCCATCCTTTATGCATGTGAGCTGTTTTGAAGGGATATCCTAATTATCAGTCAGAAAAATACACTATAGGTCTCTAACAATGGATAGGAGGAAGAAGAAATATGTATAGCAACACAAAGGAAAACAAGGTGACATGGATCCCAGCTTTAACCACAAACACATTCTTCTGCATGATTTTACCTTTTTTGGCAGACTGTTCTTGAGTCATGATTAAATTGTCATCAGTAGGAATATTTTGCACTGTGGTTTTGGCATCACCTTCAGAACTCATTTTGATATTCTCTTCCCAGGAATTTGGCATTTACCTACTTGAATAATAATTTTAAGAGTAATGAAAAAAAACATAAACAATCAAAGGCTCTCTATCTCACAAGTCATGTTCCAGATCTTTCTTTCTAAGAATACAGAGCAAAGGCTGTTTTATTGCAGAGCATGCTAGAATAAGGTACAAGAAATCCAAATGATGAATTTTGTGGCCTGAGGAAAGTCACCATTACCTTGGGTCTGAGTACTTGCTTTCCCAAAAGGAGGGATCTGGTCTCTAATACTTTGACAAATTGCAAGATTCCCCTAACTCTGTGTTTCCATTCTTATCAAATATTACTATGAATTGAGCATGAAAATGTAACAATCTTTTTAAATAATTATTATTTTATGATACATTTCCATAGGCCCTGGGATTTACTGTACCCCCTCCAGATTCCTTCCCCCCTCACTGAGTTCCTCTATTTTATTACTATAGTACAGTTCTTCGTACAGTCATATGTCATTGCAGACATGGACAATGACAGAGAATCCAGCATGCTATTGTCAAGATATAGTTAAGAGTATCATTGGGAGTCCATCTTTTGGAAGTAGAGATGCATACTGCATTGCATCCTCACATCTGGAATGATAGTCTCCATCACACAATTACTATACATCCCCTGAATTGAAAAACCACAAAACAAAATCAACAACAGGAACAAAAAAAGGAATTGAGGATGTCATGAAGTTAAATAACATGCTACTGCATGACTAATGTGTTGTTGAAGAAATGAAAAAGAAAAACAAGAACTTTCTTGAAGAAAATGATGCTACTGTATGATCTATTACTCAGTAAATAACTTAATGAGAAAAAATTGTTTTAAAGAGATGAAATTTAAAAAAATCAAAATCCTTGAGATATAGTTCATTGGGAAATTTCCAATAGATAAAATAGCCTGCAATAATGGCCTTATAAACACCTAAATGAGCTGTAGTTGGAATATAAAAAAAAAAATCTTTTAGACTCAAAGAGAAGAACAGATATATCTCCACAATCTGATGAAAAGTAGAGGGACGTACTACCTTATCAGTGACCATGGATTGGGGTGTAATAAAGCATCAGTCTCAGTGATGCACATGTTGAAATCTAGTGGTCTGAGGCTGTGAAGGGTGAAGCTTTAAGCCCATACCACGGGGCAGATTTTAAGGGAGATCCTAACACAGATGCAAAACCTTGAATGGCTTCAGAGTTTAGAGGTTCTGTCCACTGCCACAGGGAGCCGGTGATAGCTCCATACATTGTTTTGAATTCTAGAGTGAAAATAAAATGCCTCTTTCTAAATTTGGGAATTTATGACCATGTTATGGGGTGTTGAAGGTTGGAATCTGTGCTGCCTTTCCTTCAGAACTTCTCTTTAGCTGAAAAATTAACTAAACAATCAAGCTTTAATTGACGCACTCAATACAGATTAGACATAATTACTACTCCCCTAAATTTCAGCTCAAGACCCATTGTAAACACTCAAAGAGATCCATACAGAGCCACTGCTCAGTCATCTCATGGCATGATTAGACTATTGGGAATTTCCAAAAAGAGCAATGCAGTAATATAGACATTGCGTGGGAGATCCTAAAAATTACTGAGAATAGCATATGGCAAACAAAGAGAACATCAATGAAAAGGTAGGTGAGAAGGAGACTATTTTAAATGTAAGAGAAAAAATTGTGCATTGATAATGGAGGCAAAATTATGTCTACTGTAAAAGCTATTTAAATAGAGGATAGAGCTAAAAATAATAGAAAATAAACCCTAATGAGATAATGAGGCATGATAGCAAAGTTAAGAACCTAGAGATGGTATGAAAGGATCCAAACTATGTTGTGTGGGGCATCTAAGAAAAGAAAATAAAGAGAAGTAAGAGAATATTCAAATAAATAATTAACAGAAAGTTTTCAAATTAATGAAACACCAGATTTCTCAGGTTTACTTATCTCAATGGGTCTTAAACCAGAAACAAATGACAGTAAAATCATGCCTAAACATATCAGAAGTTAAGTAATGCCAAAGCACAGAAACTATTCTAAAGAACATATCTCATAGGAGTGCATTAATGGTGGTTGTAAGCTTAATTAATGTATGGGTAGTAAGCCCCTGTGGTTAAGATGTTTGTTGGAATGTTCACATCTCATGTTGGAGTGCTTGGGTTTGAGTCCTTGCTCTGTTCCCAATACCAGCTTCTTGCTGATAAGGCTCTGATAAAGAGTTAGTAATTATTTGAACAGAAGTGTCTCTGATCCTCACATGGCAGACCTGAATTGAATTCCCCACACCCAAGCTTACCTGGCCCAACATACCTGTAATTGGCACTTGGGGAGTGAATTAGTTGACAAGAATGTTCTCTTTCTCCTAGTGTTTGTCTCTCTTTCTCTCTCTCTCTCTCTCTCTCTCTCTCTCTCTCCCTGCCCCCAAAATAATAAAATAAATTTTAAAATCTAAATAAAACATTTTAACCAGGTGAAAGATAAAGAGATGTTAGTTGCCATATATCAGACAAGGAGTAACACTTTAAAAATTTCTTCAACATAATAAAAAGTCAAGACATATGAAATTAGTAAAAAGTATACGCTAGCAGAAACTTATGAATAACAGTGAAGAATAAACATGAAGAAATGAGCTCAGCCTCACTAACACGGCTATTGAAAGCATTTGGTGGCTTATCAGAATATAAAATCTCTCTTCACTCTGCCCTTTAGTAGATAAAAACAAAAGATGGGGACAGAAGTTGAAGCTTCTTTCCTTGGGGTAGTTAGAATGTGCTCATGGTTTCCTTGGGAGTCCAGGCTATGCCACTTCTGATTCACTTCCTGTTAACACACCTGAGCAGGTAGTGGATGGCAACCAACCACGTTCTTGCAACCAGCAGGACTCTTTTGCTCTAGTTTGATTGAACACACATATTTTGGAATAGAGGCAAATTGTTGATGATCTCATTCCAAATAATGCAAGAAACTACCATATCAGATTAAGGAAGTGACCCAAGAAGGTTTCCTGCAGAACTGAGATAAAGCGGCTGAGACAATTTCTTTAGTGAGAGTTGCTGAATTTGTGAAAAAGGGAGGAGGGCACAATCTTCACAAAAGTGCCAATAGCTCCCTGCAGAGCAATCATTCAGAATGTTCAGCTTATTATTCCTGGAACTGTGGTGTGTGTGTGTGTGAGTGTGTGTGTAGGTGACTGATGAGTGACACATACCTCAGAATGTAAGAGCATGAGGCAGGGTGTATTGATCTGAACCCACCAAGCAGAGAAGGGGATCAAACCATGCTGGGAGGCTCTAACATTCTCTCCCCTTCCCAAACAGGAGGTGTAAATGTTGCTGTGAAAGAGACCTGCCAGTCTACAGCATTCTGAAATACTTCCCAGCAGAATTAGCATCGTGGCACAGAGAGTTAAGCTTTCCAGAATATGCAAAGAACTCCGGAACAAAAATAACATCAAAACAACCAAACCAGTCAAGAAACGGGCATAGAAAACTGTCAGAGGGTCAGAGACTTTACAAAGGAACAAATACATTTGGCTAACAAACACATGAAGAAATGCTCAAAGTCTCTGGCAATAAAGAAAATTCAAATTAAAACAACACTGAGGTTCCATCTAATGCAAGAAATAATTGTTCATATACAAAAAACTGCCAATAACACCTGCTGGTGAGGTTGTGCAGAAAAGGGAACCCTACTTCACTGTTGATGGGAATGCAGGTTAGTACAGTCACTATGGAAATGAGTATGGAGAACACTTAGACAATTAAAAATTCACCTACCATATGACCCAGCAATACCACTTCTAGGAATATATCCAAAAGGCTTGTTATACAACAAAGCAACATGCACCCCAATGTTCACTGAAGCATAATTAACAATTGCAAGAATATGGAGGCAACCTAAATGCCCATCAAAAGAGGACTGGATAAAGAAACTGTGATTCATTAATACTATGGAATGCTACTACTCAGCAGTTTTTTAAAAATGAAATACATTACTTTGTGGCCAAATGGGCCAAACTAGAGACCATTATGCTAAGGGAAATGAGCCAATCTCAAAAAGCCAGTTATCATATCTTTGCTCTAATAAAAAATGATGTCAAATTTAGAGATAATATATATGTGAATCTTACTGTATGTCACTTCATACTTACCTGTATCTTCTGTAACAAGATCTTGCGATGTAATTCATTAATCAACCATCCATAAGAGGCTGATTGTTTACAATCACCTAAGATGGTCAATGTCCCATTTATCACTATTATTGGTACTGCCCATAAATAGTGAAGATACATTATGACCCCAGGATATAAGAATGAACCCACAATACAATGACAGCGTTCTGCATGGTTGGAAGACACTTCAGTGGAAACATGACGGACTTGGGAAAATCCAGGAAGGACACACATTGTGAACCTGGAGAGGAGAATAGAGGGTAGGGGAGGGAACTTGGGGGAGGGAAGAGACCAAAGCCAAATAATTGTATCAAACAAACAAACAATAAATGAATTAATTTTAAAAAGAATATTTTTCCCTGAGTTCCATGGTTCACACTGCTTTTAGGAAAAATCAACATCTTCCCACTTTTTAAAATTATCTCTGGAAAGAGGTGGTATCCCACCCTCACAATCACTATTCCCAAAGAACACATTAAGGCCTGACTGAGGGGAAAACACCATTCATCAACACTTGCAATTGAATAGGATAATATTAATATTAAGAAGGAAAATTTGAAAACTAACCTGACTGACGGATGTGAGTGCAAGGTCCTCATACCTGTCAAACAATGATCTCTCAGCTTTATGCAATTGTCTAGCCCTCAGGAAGTAAATGATTACCCCTAATTATTTAGCCCTATGCTCCTCACTGTTACTGGCAGAATAGTTTAATTTTTAACTTGACTTTAGTGATGAGCAGATCAAGCTCATTAAATCATTTCATGTTTCAAACTCAGCTAATATCATCACCTCTGATCCTGCAGCTA